AATACGTGCTTCAGTATTGGATCGAAGTTCAAGAATTGCCTCTGCCAAACCTGGAGGTTCTTCTGGTATTTTAGTAATTTCACATTTAAAAGGATCTACAACCCAATTTACAGATTGTACATCAAGATCTGGAAAGTAGTCATTACCCATTTTGGGTAATTTTCCCCGGTTCCCCGACCGCTGATTTAAAGTATTTATATTTTTTCTTCTTGGAAGTTTCCACCTACAGCAACGGAATTTTAACTTTGAGGGCTCCGGACTAACATTATTTCAGTGCCGAGAAAATTAACCCATGTTTGGATTATTTGAGTATATTTTTATAAAGACTATGGCTAAATCCGCCCTAGAATATCTATATTCTTCTTTCCATCTCTGTTTAGTTTGTGCCTATCATTATATTTTTGTATTCCATCAATAACTATATTGTAGACAACCAAACTAGCACAACTGGGATTACCCTACTTATGTGGTCATTTATATAATAAACTGATTATTCTTTGTTATGCTTAGTCTGTTTTTGTATTGTATTGTCGAATGAAATCGGAACCAATCGGAACCTTTTCAAACTTTTTCAAATGTTTACTTTTCGGTAATAAAACTTTTATGATTATGTAAAATAGAACAAAATACAGTTTGTGTGTCCATTTTCGTAATTTTATTCTGCATTATTCTCCATAATGTTCAGCAGCACTGTTCGATAGTTCACAAGTAAGTAATTTTTCTGTAACAAATCGCTTTAATTAACATACATTTTATATATAACTCACAACAAAACTGTTTAAGAGCCGCAAGCGGTTCGCGAGCCACTGTTTAGCCTCTCCTTTTATTTGCAATGACTTCAAGCCAACTTCTAATAAAACTTATAAATCTTGACAATAAATTTTATTGTAGGATTTATATCACGATAATGAAGAAGTAGAAGTTTTGTTTTATCATAAATGTAAAAATTAACTGTATGTATAATAGGCTAAATTAAAGTTTCAACAAGAAATGAGTATTAGTTAAAGCTACGTTATATGCAACCAAGTATACAAATATTTTGGAACTTGGTAGTTCAAAGTTAGAATTTTTTTTTTATAAAATAATACTATTCTTATATGTGGTTTAATTGAGTATTAACATTTAAGTTACTATTAAATTGACAAATTAAAGAAGAAATTTTAAGATCTTCTAATTTAATATGGTATGTTGTGAGAACTTTGCAACAAGTGTTGCATCATCTCATACCATCAAAATTTTGTTCCGTTATTGGCGCGCGGTTATTTCAGTTGTTTGTCGTCCACTTTCAAACTGTTTCAGAAAGTTTGGTTATGTTATATACTTATGTGTTTTAAACAAATATTTTATATTAGCTACTATCATGACCAGTGATTACGATAAACCAGGGCCTAGTAGTGCTGGTAATTTCGCATCTTACCAGGAAATTGAACATGAGACTAGTAAATACAACTACGATAACTGCATTATTCAACAAAGAACGGACGACGAATTCGACAGCTCAGACGATGAAAACAACAATTATAATGTTCTTCATCAAATTGATGGAAATGATGTTATACAGGAATATGGAAAAACGTTAAATGCTGATGATGAAGATGACAAGATTTTAAATAAATTATTGGAATATATATGCTCTGATACAGAAGTAATTTCAGAGAGTGAGAGCACTAGTTCAGAAAATGAAATTCAGTTAAAATCCTTTGTAAATTTCATTACAATGCTAAATGATGTTGAACCACGTTTCTCAGAAGAAGGTAGAGTTAAAAAGTATATACTTAAAATCAATATTTTTATTTTATATTAATTTGTAAATAGATGGACAAACTGTTAATCAAGAGCCAACATCAAAGAAAGACACAAGTGAAGCAGCTCTGGAGAGTAGCAATGAGAAACGTATTTATATTTAATTTTATGTAGTAAATGACTAAAAATGCTATTTTAGAGTTAAAATCTGTGAATAAAGATGATGCTAACAAAAGCCAACAAGAAATAGCCATCTCTACAAAACCTCAGAACTTGATACAATCACCTCAAGTAACTAGAAGTAAAAATAATGAAACAAAAATACATATTGGTATGTATACAACAAAAAATATTTGTTACATTCTTAATTTAATTCTACTGTAGCTGAAAATTTACCAATTGTTCCACTTATTAAAAAGAAGGTACTCAAAAGGAAAATGAAAAAAATACAAACAAATCACACCAATTCTAAAACAATAAAAAGTAAACATGAAGTCAATTCAAATTATTCCTCTAGTGATGATGAAAATACAAATGTTCCATTAAAGAAGAAGATAAAGATTCGTTTCAAGGCACAAGGTAATATCTCAGATAAAATATATGCCATACATTATTGAATATATTTGCAGCTACCAAGAAAAAAATAACAAATGGTACTGAATATGATATGTCTGATGAATCAGATATTGAAGTAAAGGATAACAAAAAGGAGACAAGTAAATTACATATATAAAACATCTATATTTTTATATATAAATATGTTTTTAGCAAAATCCAAAGATGTGTCTAAGTTGGATAAGCAGAAAATGAATAGCATTTCATCAGATGATCCTGTTAAAAAGAATGATGGTCAAGTTTCAATAAATTATTTGGGCAAGTCATCAGGTAAATATATTTGTTGTTGTTTTGTATTATTACTTACATCAAATCAATTGCAACAGATCAATTCTCAAATATTCGAAACATTCTTGAGCAATCATTGATCCACCAGAATCAATTACTGGATCTATCGAACAAAGATAATTGTATGTTTAATTTTTAATAGTTAGTTGTTTTTCATATAAATTGTTTGATTGTAGATGAAGGAATTCTCAATATAATTAATGAATATGCTGATTTTAAAGAAGGAAGAAATAAAAAGTCAACAACAGAAAGTATTTACCTATATCATCTTTTATTTAGACATTTATATTTTAATTTAATTCAATTTTAGGTACTGATGAAACAAAACAAGTTTTATTAAAACAATCTAATAAAAGTACTACTCTAACTGCACCTAATCACAAGAAGAGTATAAGAGGTGAGTGGATGTTTTTCTCTAATCTAAGATTATATTGCAAAGGTGGTGTTATTAATCATTATTAATAATCTTAAATTAAGGTGAAGCTACTGAAGGTTTTTTGTCAGATCAAGGTAATGAACTTCCTATATCTATGATCAGTCCGAGGAGGTCGCTACGACTCCTAAACAGTTCAACACGTAATATATCATAACTATAAATATATTTTTTGTTAATTATTTCTATTTTAGATGCTAATGAATCTACGACGAAAAAGTCTTCCACAGTTATAACAGGAGGAAGTCAAAATAAGTCTCGAAATCAGTTGAAATCTAAAGGTAAAGAAATTCGAATTGTAGAATAATATCATTTTATCTAAAATTAATTTTAGTTTGTGAAGAAGAAACTGCAGATATCGCAACTGGAGCAGACAAAAACCAAATGAATTCCATTAAAAGTCCTATTCTTCAAAAAAAGAAGAATGTTTTGAAAAGTAAGGTAATTTTAGTAAAATAACCATTCCTAATGAGTTGGTTCTAGGTAAAGATGATGAGAAAGCTAGCAAAGTAAATGCTGATGATAATGATGTTGGGACCCTAAAGAAACCAAGAAGACTGAATTTTTCAAAAGGTAAAAACAAAATAACTGATTTAATGTACTAATAATTTAATTATAGGCAAAACTACGACTGAATTACTGCCCGCACAAGGAAATGATAAACTGATCTCCAAAGTGAATCAGTCACAAGGTAAGTTCTTAAAAAAATATATATTATATAATCATATCTTATGTAATACATAATATATACAGTTTTAGGATTTAATGAAACATCTGACCATGTTAATGATAGTGACAAAACTATTTTGAGTCCCATCATCAAATCCTGGAGGTCGCCTCGTTGGTTGAAAAGTATGTATATTTTAAACTGAAAATTAATTTAAATTTCAACTTAATTGTACGTTTTCAGGTCAATCGGTACTTGTGGATAATACTAAAAATATTATGACTTCAACTCCTAATACAAACTCGTGTGCGCGGTTGAAATCTAAAGGTAAAACAAATTCAATTGAAAAAAAAAACCTAAAACTATATCTGTATAATTTCAGTCACTACCAATGTTTTAAATAAAAAAGAGAATACTTCTAAATCTGATTTAGTAAGAAAAGTAAATAAATCGCCAAGAAAGATGAATGACCAAGAATCTTGTAATGAATTTGACGATGACGCTAAAGACAACGAAATAAAAGTGTCAGCAAAGAAATTGAAAGAATTGCAAAATAAAAAGAAATTGGCTACTATAGATGCAGGAGAAGAAAATTCTTTAGTTGAATTTAAGGATAAAATAAATACGAAAACTGTGGAAGGTCAACAATTTATTGGTATAAAGAGAAAAGCTTCAACAAGTAAAGAACAATCGGATAAAAATAAATCAAAAAAGCTGACAAACATCATAGCTTCAAAAGATAAAGATTCTATTAATAAAACTGAGGACGATAAAGTTGATAATGAAAATAAAACGGAAGCTATATGTCAACGAGTAACAAGAAATCACTCAAAAGTTTTGGAAGGAAAAGTAAATGAATCACTAAATATAAAGAAACGAATAATTCCTATAACTTCTTCTGAAGAACAAGTATCTTGTAGCGATAATGAAGGCAATAAAAAGGATGGTACAGAAAACAAAAATGTAACCGATTTCAAACAGAAAGGAAATAATGAGAGTCAAGTAATTAAAAAGACAGCAAAAGCTTCAACTAGTAAAGTAACAAAATCATCGAAAGTGAAGAAGCCAATAATAAAGAATGTTGAAGATAAAGAAGTTGTTGCCGAAACCATACAGAAAGCAAGCAAAATCGAGGAAAGTGAACAAACAATAAGTAAGAAGGAAATGGTTATTACTAAAAACGTAAAAGTATCTCTAAGCAAGAAGAAATCGATACTGTCTACATCATCTGTAGAACAAGATTCATGTGATGATCAATTAGATAATGTCAAAGAAAACAAAAGGAATTTAAACACACCTAATGAAATAAAGCATGGAACAAAAACTTCAGAAGTAAGAAATAAGCCAAAAGCTTCAGCCAGAAAAGTAAAAGAATCGCTAAACATAAATAAACGAATAATTCCTATAACTTCTTCTGAAGAACAAGTATCTTGTAGCGATAATGAAGGCAATAAAAAGGATGGTACAGAAAACAAAAATGTAACCGATTTCAAACAGAAAGGAAATAATGAGAGTCAAGTAATTAAAAAGACAGCAAAAGCTTCAACTAGTAAAGTAACAAAATCATCAAAAGTGAAGAAGCCAATAATAAAGAATGTTGAAGATAAAGAAGTTGTTGTCGAAACCATACAGAAAGCAAGCAAAATCGAGGAAAGTGAACAAACAATAAGTAAGAAGGAAAAGGTTATTACTAAAAACGTAAAAGTGTCTCTAAGCAAGAAGAAATCGATACTGTCTACATCATCTGTAGAACAAGATTCTTGTGATGATCAATTAGATAATGTCAAAGAAAACAAAAGGAATTTAAACACACCTAATGAAATAAAGCATGGAACAAAAACTTCAGAAGTAAGAAATAAGCCAAAAGCTTCAGCCAGAAAAGTAAAAGAATCGCTAAACATAAATAAACGAATAATTCCTATAACTTCTTCTGAAGAACAAGTATCTTGTAGTGATATCGAAGACAATGAAAATGATGGTACAGAAAACAAAAATGTAACCGATTTCAAACAGAAAGGAAATAATGAGAGTCAAGTAATTAAAAATACAGTAAAAGCTTCAACTAGCAAAGTAAAAAAATCGTCGAATGTGAAGAAGCCAATAATAAAGAATGTTGAAGTAGAAGATAAAGAAATGAAAATGAATCTAATTGTAACCGAAACCACACAGAAAGGACCCAAAATCGAGGAAAATGAACAAACAATAAATAAAAAGGAAAAGATTAATGCTAAAAATGTAAAAGTAGCTCTAAGCAAGAAGAAATCGATACTGTCTACATCATCTATAGAGCAAGATTCTTGTGATGATGAATTAGTTAATGTAAAAGAAAATAAAAGGAACCTAAATGTACCCGATGAAATAAAGTATGGAACGAAAACTTCAGAAGTAAGAAATAAGCCAAAAGCTTCAGCCAGAAAAGTAAAAGCAAAAGTTTCTTCATCTTGTGAAGAGCAAGATTTGAATGTAAATGCAAACACTACCATAAACAAAGAAATGAAAAATAAAGAAGGTCAACAGGTATTAAGAAATAAGCCGAAAGCTTCAGCAATAAACGTTAAAGAATCGCAAAATATGGAGAAAGCAATAGTTTCTTCAGCTTCTGAAGAACAAGATGCTTGTAATGAAAGTAAAGTAAAGGGTATTAATGTTAAAGAAATCAAAACGAATACAAATAAAACTAGTGTCATAAAGAAAGGAACAAAAAATAAGAAAGATAAAGAAGTAATTAAAAATGATTCAATAGCTACGACACTTAAAGTAGTTTTAGAAAAGCTACATTTTTATAACGAAATTGAAGTTAACAGTACAGAAAATGAAAATTCTAATGTTGCAAGTACGTCTCAAAAAGGAATCAAAGCTACAGAAAATAAAAAACTAAAAAATAATAATTCAAAACTTTCGACTACAAAAGAATCGCCAAAGAAGAATACAGCTACAGCTGCCAAAGATCAAGACTCTTGTAGTGAAATGGAAGATGATGAACTTAAGGGTAAAAGAAACAAAATTAATACGAATATTGCAAGTACATCACTAAAAGGAACCGAAACTGTGAAGAGTCAACAAACAGTGAGAAATGAGAAGACAGCTTCAAAAAGAAAATTGAAAGAAACGCGAAATAAGAAACAGGGTGATACTGAAGAAGAGGACATGTCTTATTCTTCTCAAAAGAAACCTAAATTAAGTGAAGGTAATATAATTATATATTTATTGAATTTTATTATACAAACATTTTCATTTGTAGCAACCAATAAGAATACTGCGAGTAGCACGGATGATGAAACGAATGAACTTCCTCTACAGAAGAGAGCTTACAATTCGACAAGAAATAGCAGCAAAAGTAAATGGAATCTTTTATTTAGGAATATTATTTCTTTAATATATGTTTGTTTTAGTTCATCGCGATATTAGTTTAAATAATGGCGAGGTTTCACGTATTAAAAAAGAATCAGGTAACATGCAAATGTTATAAACAAACAAATTATGGTATATTATAATTTGATATTTTGTTTTAGGTTCAGTATCTGATAAACAGCTTCAACGTATCTGCGATGAACTCAATGCGTCTCGCAAATCGCTTGATTTTTCGTTTGGTAAGAATTACAACTTATGGGATTATTCGTGTTATTGAAATTATTGTTTTAGGTGATGCAACATTAAATGATTCTCTTAGGCGAAGTAGTCGTTCACGAAAACCAGTAAAATTTAAAGGGTGCATGTACATTCAATCCATTGAATCATCGACGTCAGGTATAATTCTCTTTAATAGTCTTATAATATTTATGTAATGTCATTTAATTATAGGAAGGAAAAGTACCACTCGGAAAAGGATGACGATTTCGCAAACACCAACTGCAAATGCTTCGAGAACAAACCAAGAAAACGATGATACTCATGAAGGAAATTTAGAAGCTAATAACCAAGTTTCATCTCAAAGCAAAGGTAATTTAATATATTATTAATATATATAATATATTTTTACAATTTCAAAAGATGAAAACTGTATTTCATATCTGTTTATTCTTTCGTTATTTCAGCTGAAAGTCAGGTCTCCGAGGTTCAATCAACAAGTTCGTATAAGAATACCTGAAAAATACGTCATTTATCAAATTGATGTTTCAGGCAACACTACTACTAAATTACACAAGAAGAGGAAACTGTTTTCGCCGGATACCTATTTAAATTCGTCTGCAATAGCAAAATGTTGTGAACACACACAAGCTTAATTTTATTTATGTTCTTTTTTATTTTTTTACATTTTACAAATGTACACGTTTATTTTTTATTATTATACATGTTCTACAGAGTTTATTATTTATTTCAGATGTTTATTTTTGTTTTAGAATTTATTTTTTAAGTACCTTAATTTTATAGAATAGGTCAAATAAGTTGTATTTTTTCAATGTTTCTTAATTTACGTTTAAACACATTTTATGATGTTATTAAAACATATCTAAAATCCAATATATTTATCCTGAATGTACCTATTTTCAAATATATTCCAACTCTTATGATATTTTTTTCTATATTTGTCGATTTCTATTTACAATTACATTTCACATTGAAATAATAGTGGTTTCTACTATTTATACTCTGCAGATACTGTTTTAAGTATCATAAGTATCTCTTAAGATTTTCACAAAATTATTGCAGTATGAGTGAAACTGTTATAAAGGAATTAAACCATTTTAGTGAATTTTAATTCACTTTATTTCAGACATAAAAAAAAACTTTCTAATACAAGACGCAACTACATTTATTTTTTACAGATATTTTTGTTTATTTTGAACTATTAGACTAATTTAAGCGAAACCACTCAAAACTGCATCCTACCTATCTAAATGAAGATTTGTAGGTTTCCAGACCTTCCGGCAATTACTTTCAGAATCGATAATCATGCTAAAACTACAAATGATTAGCGCTACTTGAAAACCCATTAAAAGTTTCCACTTTACGCTCAACTTAACAATAAACAGATATATTACAAAGGAAGCATACAAATGAAACCTCGTGCAGTAATGCAATTCGAAAGCCTAATTTGCAATATTACTAAACAAATTAGAAATAATTAATTTGGGTAAACTTATTGCATTTAAATTCACTGTGATTTGGTCATAAAACCCATACATTTTTCGAAGGCCAAAAGTGTTTGTTGTAGTTCACATAATGAACATATCCCATGGTTAATTTTAATTGAATAACAGCAATTAGCGCTAAATTTGAATACGTAGAGGGTTAATAACAATGATGACGATATAAATAAATTCATGTTCTGCGATGTGTGTTAATCATTGCTGCTAAGAGTTTCTCTAATATTGTGGCTTTTAGTTCGTTCAGCTTTCTCTTGGAAATCCACCTCCGCGATTCTCCTCTCTGCACATCGCCGGAAAGTTCATAAACATTCCACTTCTTTAGCAGCTCACCATTTATTTATTTATTTTTTCTCTCTTTTCATTTTCGCATCGCTATTTACTCTAAATCGGTTTCACGTACCCGAAACTTCTCACGACTTTAACGGTTTGAACTAGTTCGTACTTACAATCTGAGGAAATGCGTTTCTTGTGGCCATCTCGCTTTGTACATGCTTTTACGTAATTCTCCGCAATAGCTGTGGAATAGTTACAGATTTTTTTCTTCCATCTTCGGAAACCGAATAAAAATGAAAAAGTCAGGGTGAAAGTAGTCAGTGTGACAGGAAATGTCCAAGATTTATAAACTAAATGAGTTCACTTAGACTATGGAAACTGAATTATCGTATATTTAATATATCAAAAATAAAATGTAACATTTATCTCAGAACATGTTATAACAATTCAATTTTATTTGTTGAATCATTGTCTACTAGCAAGGCCATTCTGATCATATATATAATTAACTAAATATACACAGCACCTATATTTTGATTAAATTAATGCTTTTTAGTTATTGCATAAGTTTGTTTCCTGGGAGAAAAAGTCGTATATTGTTGTCGTGTGAGAAGATACCTTTTCCAATTTATTTGGTCATGGTCGACGTCAATTTACCATCAAATAAATATATTTTTTATTTTGTTTTGTATAAACTAGTCAATTAATTTTGTAATTGTAATGATTTTGTTTATTTTTTTTTAAGTTAATTATTTATTTTATTTTACATAAGTATCATCTGATGCCAATATTGCTGTATCATCAGTTGCAATCGTAGTATTGTTAGTTTTAGGAATATCTGCCGTTCATCCGTACTTAATATGTTTTTTTATTTACATTTAAAAAGAAAGCTAAGTAATCATATATTAAAAACTTTCAAGATATAATCATATTTACTTCAATTATCACTGATATAATTATTACATGTTGGTATTTTCTCTTTCAATAAAAATTAACTCTCATACCAGGAAATTAATTACATCAAATCAATCATCATTATTTTTATTTCTCATACAAGAACCACATAATATTGACAATAGTATATGTATATTATTAATTAACACTAAATTATTAAAAAAAAATACAAAGTATGGATAAACAAAAAAATAAACATGACACATGAATGCACTTTCAACAAGCAATAACATGTATTGTTTTATATTTGCATTAATCATTATTCAATGAAAACAGGTAGTACTGTTGAAAGTTACAAACATTTTCTTTGTTTTTAAATATTTTTGTTATTCTATATTATTCTTTAAATCAACCTTTAAATTAATTTATTGAAAAAAATGTGATTTATTTTTAATATTATTATTTTTCTATATGTTGGATATTGGATATTATATAATAATAATTGTTGTTCTATAGAAGTATAACGGTAGAAACGGAACATATGTTATTATTAACTAATTTCCATGCGTTCACATGTGGCGTTTCTAAAACATAATGAACCACACGAAAGTGAAACTGTCTAATAATATAAAATCATCAAAATTCGTAAACAAACGTTAAGCAATGTTAAAATTATGTAAATGCACCTTGTAGTTACCAATGTAATGGTTCTAAGTGTACGCATATTATGCAGAGTTAGACGGAGTTTTATCAGACATGAAAGGTCGACAGCTTATTGCGACTTGAAATCGCATTGAATTTCTGCCTTATTTTTACGTCTACATTCCCTGCATGTGACAATTAAGATTTGTTGCAATTAACTAAATATAGAACACACTTCACCTTGATTCGAATTAATTTTCTTTTTTGAAATAAACAGTTTGCATGTCATATTTATTTATTTATAGAAGAATAATAAATAACAGTGTTTCGAATTGTAATGTTACTAATTATTAAAAAACATACGACGTTGAAATATATTTTTTTAATTGTATATGTTTATTTATTGAAAATTCATCAAAAAAATATTCAAAAATAGAAGAAAAATTTTAAAATAAAAATTCGTAGTAAAATTATTTAATACGACCAAGATTTTAATTTTTTTTTTTAATTGATGAAGGATATTTTTTCTAGAAACTATTACTGAAAATGACTCATCCTAAACAAAACTAAAATTCCAGAAAATTTCCAAAAAAATCACTAAAATTAAAATACAGTGGAACCTCGCTTAACGAGTTTAATCCGTTCCAAAATTTACAGAATTTTACTCGCATAGTGAAATACTTGTATAGTAAAATACGTTTTCCCATATAAACTAATGTAAATTACGATAATTCTTTCCTTGCCGGAAAAAAAGTATAACTTTGTCCACTAACACTAGGAACTGTTTTCAAATTCACACACGGTGAAGTGAGTTTATATTTGTTTATATTACTTGTATCAATTCGAGGACTTGGTGGAGGTCTCTTTATACTTTTAATATTTGTTTATATAAAAAAGCGTACATAGTGTGTTTATATATTATAATAATTATTGGACACAATACATTTGTGTTTTGCAAGCAACATCGTTATGCATTCATTTTGCTCGTTAAGCGAAATGCTTGTTATGCGAGGTGCTTGTTAAGCGAGGTTCTACTGTATAGTATTGGGTTGTTATAGCATTAGTAGGCGGTTCTTTTGTTAATAAAATTTTCTTTTTTTAATGAAAATAATATTTGCAAATGGGAAGCAGTTATTGAAGTAGATGATGACTACGCTCCAGAATAATCGTTTAAAAATGTTATTGTAGGAATTTTTATGTTTTTTTATAATAAATATTGTTTAAAATGTCGTGTCCCGGGATTCAAATATCTCTGGACCCTTTGGAGCAGCTCGTAGTTATGTCGTTGTGGAGTCCTAGTGGAGTTTTTAGCGAATGCTTGAGGTGAAGTTAGAGTTTTTATGATAATAAATACTTTATCATACACTATAAGATTATTAATAACTTCTATGTCTAGATTTCAGTTGCTAGATTTGTTACTAGGGTTTTTATGAGTCTAACTAGGACTCGGGAGGAATCTCCTCTAAGACTAAAACTAACTTGGACTAGCGAATAGCTAGAACTCGGACTCGAACTATATAGGACTCGCTTTGTATTACATAAACATCCTATTATATAGTAGTGTATTAGCATAGTGGGAGTATAATATTTGGTAAGAGAAGATAGTGATTAGGCAGATGTATATATTAGTAGTCATTATCGATTGGCCCTTTGTATACAACATGATGATTAACAATAGTCTTAGTTCGAATAGTTATGGGATCTTCCTATGTGTTATTTGTACTAGGTCTTAATGACTTACATAGATACACATGTACATAAAGAAGGGCTAACATAATATAAACAATAACGGTTACACATAACAAAAAACGCCTTTTATTTATGCAAGAACCCAATACTTTATATTGAAATTCTTCACTTTTGTTTCATTTGTTTTTATGTTATATTTCTCGATAAGACGCAAATGTAAGAAAATGCGTGTTATGGTCCGAAAAATAAATAAATTCTTTTGGAAATAGTTTCATAAAGAATTCGACTAATTGTGCCGTATTTATCTCAAAGAAGTATACTTCTCTGAGGATCTATACTCATCAAAGGTAACAGCATAAATTCTGACAATAGTTGTCTTGTCATTTTATAAATATCTAGAAGTGAAATATTACAAAATATTAACAAATATGGAAATTTACATTGGCAAACGGAGTATTAAGAAATATATTTAGTTACAAATTTTATATCTACTAGTAAGTATTAATATAATTCATAATAAGTTTATTTACCAAATAATTATCATAAACAAATAGTATAGAATACTTACGAACTAGATCCTTTCCAAAGTGTTGTTCGTAAGTCGGGAAATTTTAAAAATTTCAAAATATATTTATCTTACCACAATTTATCATGGTTTTTCTTTTAAATATGTTAAATTCCGTATTACTGACGAAAAAAAGATTAAAATAAACAAAATATTTGCTTTCAAGTACTTTTCAATGTAGACATCACATTTTTTATTTGGACAGTTAATTTACTATATATATATATATCACTATACGTGTATTTGGATTCAGGAATACTAGAATAAAAAATATATAGCAATACCTCGCATAGTGCGGGTCTGTATAAAACCGAACTAATATGAACTAAATTAAATGCATAAAAAGAGATATTTTTTAAATTTATATTTTTAGTTTATTTCTTTGCGAGGTAAAGCTGTAAGATTTTATAATAAAAATGATATTGCTTCCAGAATATTTAGAAAACAAATCATTACCTATAAAATATATTTATATTAACAATAAATGTTGCATTAAAATTACGGTATTCGAATTGATTTGAAATTAAAAATAAATGACTTTCCAATTATTCACCGATTAACGGTCATCCCACGGTTGACTTAAGCCAAATTTAGAAACTTCGAGAACGGATATCCCTGTGCAATTTCAAACCTTATCCAATGGAAATCTTCAAATCTAATTAATCCGTTTACACTCAATTGATGTACTCTCTTTTTAATTGGTTGTTAAGATACGTACATATTTTACAGTTTGTAACTAAAAGTTATTTTTATAATGAATTTATATTGAAAATAATCATTTCAAATTGTTATATATCATTGAAATGTTTGATATTTAGAGGTGAAATAAATTACTCCTTCTGTCCGAAAATATAGTATACATTTGAAAGAAAATCTTAGATTATATATAGTTTCGAAAGCAACTGGCAATACTCATTATATTGGCATTGTTTACATTGCTAGCTAAATAATTTATCATTTATCATGATTGTCAATCGTTGCTTTTGAGTTAATTTGGAATTTGAAGACCAACAATTAGTTTTTATTAAGAAAAATGTAATAAGAACCGCTATAATTTCAAAATGAAAAATTATAACCCAAATAACATGAATTTACAAAGAAGAGATGCCAAATTCTATAAATACTCCTAATAACGTTTTTATAACATTATAAAGTTGTATGTAATCAATTATGTTAACAGGTGGAGGAATTTCCTATAAATTTACTCATATAAATAAGGTAAATCATCGTTGTGAGGGTCGATTAACTAAAAGATATATATGTTTAACTAAATTTGGATAATATTGTTATAATAAAATGAATTTAATATTTTTTTATATTTAATTTTAGTTTTATTTGATTTTTTTCGCAAATGTATATTATTTTCGACAAAAATATATTAAAATGTATACCATATTTTCGGACAGAGGGAGTTTGATGACAGAGATAACTCGCATTAGTTTAAAGTGCATCAAAAAATGCATTGTATATATTACATGCGTAGATACTGAACATTCAAATATCATTACTATAATTAGTATGATAGTACTAACAAAGTATAAATGCGTCAAGTGTAATAAACATTCGAAAATGCTTCGCTCACAGTGAATCAATTAAATTCGTAATTCGTTAAATACGTGATGCTCTAATAAGAAAAGTAATCAAAACAAACATACTCAGCAACAACATCATATTCTTTAATAACAACAGCAACAGAAGCAAATATTGTTAAATAAATAAATCTGTTGCAATTAAGAATTAAAAACAAAAGTCATCATACAAACTGACAATCATCAATCACAATGGTTATATTACATTTCATAATTTAAAAAAAATAAATGATAAGTATAAACAAAATAATATAAATTCATAATAAACCCTGAAAATTAGAAAAATTCTAATATAAATTAATAACAATAATTAATAATCTGCATAATTAATCATTTGAATGACAAAATAAACAAGAATAAATAATAAATATTTGGAAAAAACGAGTTTTTTTATAAATCGATGTCTTTAGATGCATTGATAGAAGTTCATTTATTACATAAAATTAAATTAAATAACATGCAACAACAAATACAAATACATCAATAACTCGTATACTCGTATAGTCTGGGTTTTGAAAATGGACTAGTCGAGATCTTTAATAACGAATAAATACTAACTTGACTGTATAAAGGAAAAACACGTTAATTGTGTGTATTTTTTTTTTTAGAATTTATTTTTGTGTTCAAACCGGATTATGTAAGGTATTTCTGTATAATGGAATATTGTTTTTGCCTTACAATTATTTATTATATAATTTAAAAAAAAAAACATAATTCACCGTATAAATCAAATTTATATGTAGAAATAAAAAAAAATATATTTACAACATATTTCTTTGTTGATATTTTGATATTTGATAACTAGTATGGTATTTTGGAACTAGTATGGTAATTGTAGATGCACGTGTCCATGAACATCACAATTAGTACTCAAGTGTAGGATGCAAATGAAAAATAAATTGACACATATTCGTTAAAATACCTGTTTTTACAAATACATAAGAAAATATATTATCTCATCTTCAGTTCTTTAGCATCTGCAGCAAATTGACAGGTTCAATGGCTTCTTTTATTGTCACTTTTCAAATGTTTCAAATGATTCACACATCTACTTTTATTACAAAATATTTCGTATAATAAGAAGTAAATTATGTATAGTACACGAGATATCTTATAGTAATTAAATATCACATAGAATTTATTACAAAACATTATTTTTTTACAAATTATAACATAGATAGACAGGAGATATCTCATAGTTATCATATTAATAAATTTGCCCGATCATAAAGTTTTGGTTAGCAAAAACACTGTTAATTATTAATAAATTGAAAGGCGGCCGTCAATCATTGGCCATATTTTTTATGATATCAATATTTTGAAATATAGTGTTTACAATAATATGAAAAACAATATTTTGTATTCAATGATCCATTAAAGTTATATTGATTATTTGCTTTTTTTAATAGGTTATTAAAAGTAGTTGTATAAGTAAACGTTACTGCATATACGTATTTTTGTAAATACATAAAATTAAACCATTTTATTCTTCAACAAATCCACAATAGAACAATTATTTTGATAGATTTCATTGAATTTACAAATTTTTATTGGTCTTAATCTGGGCCAAATAAATTATTAACAAATAAATAAATAAAATTGTATGTAGTTGTAATGTCGAGGAACTACATTCAATAAGACTAATTGGAACATGAATTACTTTTACTACTTTCTTATTAAATCTGTAACAAAAACTTGTTGGTATAATAAGAACTATATCAGTATATATAATGGAAATAGTTACATATTGAAAAAGTTATGAATAAATGTAAAAAGTTTATTATTAAAATAAATGATGATAAAATACTATAATTACTGAGATTAATAAAAAATGTAAACATTTGATGAGTTTAGTGACAATTAACCGATAGTTTCTCTTCATTCGTGTGAAACAATAAACAAAACAATATAAGACTACTTTTACTGTAATAAAAAAAGGCAGGCATAATGAGAACGTAAAATGTAAACATGAATTGGGGCAGGTCGTTAGCCTTCCATCGACCGCTCCGAAGCGATTAGTTAACAATATAACTAAGAACGAAATAAATTAAAGACGAAGACATTCACAGGATGCGTTTGCCTTTTTCCGATGAGTAATCTGCTAAAATTTTGGTTACCGTTCGTTTTATTTTATTTCGATTTAATTCCTATCCTTTGAGCGTGCAGAATATCTAAGCAGCTTCTTTTTTTTTGCAAATGGAAACGTCCGTCGTATAAATCGTTTGATGATTGTATATGTTTGACGATATTTGAGGAAGTCGAATCGTTGCTTAATGCCAACAAATAAACACACAGTTGGAAAGCCACCTGAGTGAGAGATTTTCGAAGAAGGGGAAGTCCGGAGATGGTTACAAGGCTTTACTCGAACGAGCCGGTCGCCAGTCGGTCAGAGAGACCTGTAAAAATCAAAAGCTGGTCACCAGAGCACCATCACCCATCAAGACCCATCACATTCTCGAAGAGGAGAAACCCTGAGAAGAAGTGTCCCACCGTACTCCCTGTGCAATTCTGGAGCGCTACGTGAACGCAGGAATGGAAAAGGATCTGGCTCCACCGGACTCGATGGCTTCCGTCACCATCAAGCCGGATTATCCACCCTCCGAGGTCTACTCTTCGGAACCACCACCAGTAAGTACTTCGTCTTTGAAAATTTTCAGAAATTACATCAACAACAATAATAATAAAATGTAATTACCAAACCGGTAATATAAAAAAAGCGCAAAGACAAAGCGGCTTTCTAAAACCTAATAATATGTCATGCATTAATGAACCGGGATCAGTGGATAAATATAAATAAATAAACAAGCCACCTTGAAAGTTGCAAAGAGAATGTAAGAGTTGCGGCCTTAATCTGCCTACCATAACATTAACAGAAGATTTTCTCTTCACACAATCCGAACAAAATAAACGCTACTTCAATATTATTTTGAAATTTCTATTGCTAAACATTTTATTTCTACATTTATATACACAAATCTTCAATCTCAATGATTTTTTAATTTCAATTGTTAACAAAATTATGCAAAAATTTTGATATTTAATTTCTTTATTTTTTGTAATTTTAATTACATTTTATTTCAACTTTTCAACTTCAATGTTAAAGTATTAAAAAAAAAACGAATTAGCATATTTTGTGTATTAATGTCAGAAAGGCTTTGGTTCAACCTTTGTTCAAACGGATAATTTTTTTGTAAGAATAGTTAGAAAATTAAAAAAATAAATCTTTATTTTTTTTTATAAATTTTGACTTCTGTTTACATGTAAATATATGCAAAGTTCAATTTTACTATTTAGAAAGATTATTACCAAAAAAATATAATCGTAATGAAACAAATTAAAAATAATTTTTGTAATAGATCTATCAATTTATATATTTGTTTATGTTATAAGTAAATAATAAAATGATATTATAACAATTATTAGAAAAAACCGGTAAAGGAAAGTCCAATTTGAAAAGAACACCATAATTTAGAAAATTACAATCACAAATTACATACGTTCTTTATGTAGTTTAACAAAAAAAAACGGCAATCGTAATACCATTTGATGCATGCATTCAATCCAAATGCAGCAGTAGCAATTTCTACTATTTACGGAGACCGATTTCGAAATGACATAGATATTTTCTTAATTGAAACCAGTCGCAGTTTCGCATGCATTTTGCATAAAGAACTATATAAAATGTACAACTTTGAAAACGCATACAAAACCGGTTTTTAAGTAATAGAGAATATGTAGTTAATAACAAATGCAAACAATATTTCTATTTTTTATTTATCTTAATGACTAATTTCAGTAATTACTGATAATGCTGGTTGTTTGTTTGTATTTTGAATGTATAACTCCGTTTATTTTTGTTATTGCAATAATTTCTAGAATATAGTTTACAAATAATATTTTAAAATTTATTTATAATTACTACTTATATACTAAACTTAATTTAAGATATTTTCTAATAAAAGATTCAATATTAATAAAAAAAATGGAAATTAATCAAAACTAATTTATTCTGAATAATAATTGTTTTTATGTAGTTTTCAATCTTGGATAAATTTGTAATTTCAATTATAAACAATATCTTGTAGTTATATATTTGGATGAAACAACTAATATAAGTATTTATAAAGATATAAGAAATGTATTCAATTATCGGAGAATTATTAAATACATAGTAACAATTCTATAATATATGCAGATTCACTAAAAAAACAATATAATCAAGACACATATAAAAATTCTAAAATGAATCATAGTAAAAACCAGTTTGATTGGAATAGAAAAAAAAAGTAATTATACAAGCATAAATATTACTAGTTTAGCCTCATTATTTTTTCAAACTGCAAGTCAAAAAAGTTGCTTCTTCTTAAATTACTAAAAAAATTAAGTATTAATAAATACAGAGCTACACGATTATTCCATTCGAAAGAAATTAGATACCATCTAACAATTATTTATAAATCTACATCTTTAATTGCCTCTAATTAAGAAAACACGTCGGAAAAGAACCTCATCCATTTTACATATGTTTTGATTTATCTATGTAAGAAGCACGTATGTGCTCGAAACGCGTAGAAGGTGCATCCATTACGTGTAATTTAGATTTTGAACTTTGCATTTTATAAGCGCGAGGAGAATCACACGTACCGACACCAACTTATAATTATTTATAATATCTAGCCGGACTGCAAATGGCAGAATTCATTAGCATTCAACGTGTAATGTGTTTGTTCATGTAACTTCACAATCTTTTTTTATTTATTTATGTAAAACATCCGTCTTGGACGCTTTCGGGAATTTTCCATTCGAATTGCTATTTTTAGAGAATAAAAACAAAAAGAAAAACAACAATAATTTTATACAAGAGCAACATGTATGGAGACATCCGTTTATATTAGTTTCAAGTTTAGTTTGTGGGTGGAAAATTATGTTTCAGTAAATGTTTTGCACTACGAAAGACCAATTTTGTAAAAGCTAGTAGATTTTAATTAATTTTACTTTCCGTTTGGCCTGATTTTTATGGAGCAATCATTGACTTTTCATAAATTTTTATTTGTAATTAATTGTAATAGCAATAAAATGTATTGCAATAACTTTCTGAAACACTAATTAAATAAAATAAAGTATATTATTTTTTATACAATAAATTAATAGAATCAATTTACAATTGCGAATTGCCATCTTCTACAAAAATTTATGATTTTCATCACAATCTTCTTTAATGTTCTCTTAATGCTTTATTTTTCATGAACATTTTATTATTCTTTTTAGCAAATTTGATCTTAACTTCTTATAGTAGTAAAAGATTAGATAAAAATATCAATTCCATTAATAGGAGTTTCAGTTGCAACAAATTCTTCCTCTTCGGCTTTCTCTTAATAGGACTTTATTCTTGAGTACTTCCGTCAAGAAGTATATTTACAACACTTAAGTTTTCATATAAAAATTTAAATTAAAAATAAGAAAACAAAAAAGTTTAAGATGACATAAGCATTAAATAATTGTATCTATTTATAGTTTGTCATTGACTATGTCTACATCAAAGTACAGATCAATACATTTTCATAATTAAAGTATTTTTTAATCGTTTATTAATAGCTTCAAATTGGTTTATTTATGAATATACTGTGGAAAAATAGAGATATTGCATAGAATATGGAAAGATACTGTGACATATTTTCCTACAATTCTATGGTACATTATTACTTTTGAAACCACTGAACTTATATTTGTTTTGTTAAATAAATGAATGACTAAATAAAAGCTAACACCTTATACAAACAGTTTCAAGAGAAAGCCAGTTATATAATTATGTCTAAAAAATATATATCTTAAAAATATATAACATTCTACCGTTTTTGTTCACGTATCATTTCTAACATTTCTCCATAATTTCAGTTTTTTTATGCTACATAATAAGTTATAATTTGGGTTTGAATGGTGCATTTATCTAAAGAAATTTGTTTTATTTTATCATTACTTATATTAAATAGAGTATACAAATTTAATTTAATTGAAGAGAAAGTTGAGAGAACATTATATACTTTTTTTGTCTTCTGTTTAAAATTATTTTGGAATTCCCTATGTGCGTGTATGTAGTCATTTAATAACATGTTTTATATGTTCTACTGTTTTGTAACCTCAGAATTACTAGATTTAATATTGAATTTAAAAAAGTCCTCCATTCTTCTATTATGTTTATTTAAAGTGTTTTTTATTGACTAGCCTTAACTATCTTATACAAAACTTCCGTTTTTCATTTAACAAAATATAATAAATACTGAAAAATAAAATCTATACAAACTAAATTATTTATTTACCAGTTTTTCTATCCGAAGACTAATATTCTCTATTTTAGATAGTTACAAATCTATACAAAGTATATTGTTGTAAATTTTTGTAGTTTTATTTTGTTTATGGAAAAACTTTAAATTTTCTTAACACGACACTATTTTTGACATTTTTTAAAATTTGATAATTTGAAGGAGAATAATGAGATTTTGATTGTATTTGTTTAAAGACGACGAAAGAAAATGCAATCATGATTACATTGCAAATGTTTCATTATATATTTAAAACAACTTTGCGGAAATTTCTAACGGAATGTAAACATCACATTAGCACACAAAGCAAATTTGCATGCACCAATTAATACATCTCACTCATTAGGAGGCAGGAATTCAAGAAGCGGCGTTATGCAAAAGGATGAGAGTGAGATAAGAACTGTTTGAGTAATATGCAAATATCCCGTTGTATTGCATAAAAAATATATATGCATACCTATAATAGATGCAACAACAGCAGCAAATAACGAAATTTCGCAACGGCTCATAAGTTATCATTGCGGATTCCTCGCTGTTTGATAGCTGCATTGTTTTACGATACATACATATATTTTTTTTGTAATTTATTTCTATATGTATATATTTTTTTTGCAATTTCCAAGCTCCTTTCCATTCCAGTGAGTTTCCAACGCGTTTTGCAACAGCGACTTCAAACCGCATGTTTTCTACGAACGTTGTTCCTGTTTCCATCGACACATCTCCTTATCGACTGGAAACCGCGTAGACTTTCTACGTGAAACTTTCCGCAACCAAATGTAATTATTGTTCCGCGTTTTTTTTTTCTCTCTCTATTTTTCCTCATTTTCATTTGTTGACCAACGCGATCGGATTAGCGTCTGTTTGTTTGCAACATTAGATCGGATATGCAAACGATACCAATCAAGCATTACGTTCTTTCTACTTTTTTCAAGGACAATTGAAAAGTAAGAGATGGAGAGAGAAAAAGGAAACGAAGTAAGACGTGTAAGAAGATATTCTTCATTCGGAATACGCACTCGGTTTCCGCCATATGAGATCACCGAAGAACGAAATAAAAGTAAACACTTGAAGTGCTTGTTTCGGTGTGAGAAACGAAAGACCGGCGTATTTCGCAATCGCAGAAAAATTCGCGATTGTAAATTGATTCTATTTAGCACTTTGCTAACCATAATAAGGATTCGCGTTGCACAACGAATCCAAATTAACGTTTCAGCAAGGACTGACGAAACTCGGACACGTGTATGGGAAAAAACTTCATTTACAGTGGAGTCTACTTATTTTATTATGTAATTAGGAAGAGAAGGCTTT